GGACGCGCACATGCATGGGCTCTATGAACTGAAAAGACGCTTCAATTACTTCTTTGCTTCGACTGCTACAGTGTCATTGCACGCTCGCGAGACCGGGTGAAGCCATTGTTTTCTACGTGACGGTGGCGACACTGACGGCCTGGGGCGAAACCAGCCAAAAGTCAAACAAACTGAATCGCGAGAAGAGTCGTTCTAACAAATTCTTTTCATATACTTATGCGTCGAGAGTGCAAGCAAGCTTGTGTCACATCCCTGTTGGCACTTTGACAATCCCTTCCTGGGACTGCGCACATCAGAAGCCCACCTAATGATTGCGAGCAAATGCGGGCGAGGAACGAAAGCATGTGGCGTTTGGCCGAGATGTGGTGTTCTTCCCCTGAGATGCACCCACGTGCCATCGCAGGGCTTCGGACTATGATACTGGTCCTGTTAGGATGCTTATTTCCAGAAAGCATCAAGACGCACCGCAAAGATGACGACCTTGAACTGCTGTTGGCAACGCTGTTGGCAATCCAAGGGATCGTCCAGCTGAGGAGCCGCCGAAACACTCGGTGGGCACAGAAAATCATAAGACTGTGCGCACCCGTGATCAGCATGATGTTGTTGGTGGAGCATGATCCGGCGGTCATTGCAAAAGGGCTCAAGTACATGCAAGACGGTCTGGAAAACTCCCATGGGCGTGATCAAGCAGCTTTGTATGTCATATTTTCCGAGGATACGACCTACATCAGAAAGGCACTACTGGAGAGAGCTCACGCTGCATTAGGGGTCAAGGCTCGGATCATGGAACACTTCTCCGGCATCCTTCGTGTTTCTTCGCCAGCATATCTGTCCACACGGGCAAAACGATTCAGGCGAGGCCGTCCTGAACATTTAGGTTTCCTGGTGGCGAAAGTTGGAGAACACGATTACATCAAAGCAACTGAGACAGTGGCTATTCGGGCCTTCCGTCCAAACGGGAATCAAGGCCAGTGCAAAACGAAGCCCAGATCTGCAAAACCGACGCGGCGGAGAAGACCTTTACCAAGATTTAGGCGGCCTCCAGTGCAGACGTTTTGGTCCTCAGTGGATACTCAGCGATGCATTCTAGAAGAACGACGCCGAGTACAAGCATATCCGCAGCTCCACCAGGCCCCTGCTTGGATGCAACTCAGCTTTGCAGAGGTGTACAGACGAGCCCAACAGAAATGGTTTGCCATCTCTGGACAGAAAGGCCCCCTGTCGCCATACAGCTGGAGATCCGGTGGTCTTCTGGCGACATGGGTCTGCACTAAAGGGGCTTCCGTGCTGCTTTCGCCTCTCCTGCGAGGCCGTTCCATTGCAGAGGCATGTATACGTCTGGCATGCTTGGTGGCTCAAGTGCAAGGCTACATGCGACATTCAAGGGGCTACCAGCACGTGGACAGACTCTTGCACCGTTTTCGACTACCCGGCCGGCAAACGACGTACTTCAAAGTTCCGGACGACGAGCGCTCGCTGAACATCGCTAGACGAACTGTGCGACAGGCGGCAAAAAGTATGGCCAACAAGCACGGTGAGATACTCTTGTTATGGGTGCTTAGCAAGGTCAGATTTGCTTGGGTTGCTGCCAAGAGATTGACCGAAAGGAGGAACATAGTCGTGGCGGCCAAGTCGATCGATATCATGCAGATCTGTAGCACAAACCCTTTCATGCTGGAAGGCCTTCAACGAGCCGAGGAGGTGAAGTTGTTGCATGGAAACTGGGGGTTGCAAGACAGACAGGCAGGAAGCGGACAGCTGCAAACACTACACTCAGACTTGTCAGACTGGTGCTACCAGAAGCACGTCCCAAGACCGACTCGCTTGGAAGGTCTCAGAACTCTCAGACGAGTTTGCCAACAACGCTCCCTGAAGTCCAATGGAAGCGCCCCTGCTGCAGAGCAGGGATACATGCAGCAAATGCAGGCCGACGACCACGAGATCTTGCTGCAGGATGACAAAGACCGGAAGCGCACCTGGGGCATGCCCTTCATCGTCATGTCGTCTTTGCTGTTTTTGCTGGTGCTACGAGATGGGGCGAGATGGCAACCTACAGACATGACTCCGGACCAGCTCAGTGCACTGGTGTACGGGATAAGTATTTTTGCGTGGCCTGATTTTCTCAGAAAGGGCAAAGTGACAGCCAAATCTATGGCGCCTTACATGTACCCTTTAGTTAAAAGTAAGTGCTTTGCACCTTCAGGCGGTAGAACCTGCGCCAAACAAGGGCATTCCTGTCTGAGGAAGGTGGTGAGCTTCTACCATGCGCCGTGGCGCAAGGCTTGGAGACTTGCAGGCAGAGCCATTCAGATCATCGTGCAAGCAACGTTTCCCGGTTTTGCTGTATGGAACCTCCAAGCCTTCTGTGAAGCCTTCGGTCAGCTGCGATGTTCTACAGATCCCAGCAGATGCGAAAGATGTGGGGCGGCCAAGCACCCAAGTACGCTGCTCGTGGCCGATGCCGCCCAGATGTACGAGCAGATTGATACTGCCAAGGTGCTGCTCGCCTTTGACCGCGCTGCTGAGCGGCTCCGCCTGAGCAAAGGCCTGACTACAGTGACTGTCAGGAGACAGGGCAAACTGTTCGGATGGACCGGCGGCGAGCCTGCCACCAGATCTGGCAAGTTCGTGGTGTTTACAACAGCACGACTGCGGAAAATGCTGTGGGCCAGCTGTGCTCTTCGCTTCGCCACGTTGGGAAACCTTGTTGTGAGAGCGACTGGAGTCATGATAGGCGGTCTCCTTTCCCTGATTGCTGCAGTTGGTCTCCTTTGTCAAGAAGAGCAAGTGGCGAAAGAAAGCGCGGAATTTCGGAGGCAGTATCTTCCTCATGGCTGGGATATGATGCATGCATTGTTGGCCATGCGCTATGTGGATGATCTCCTCATGGTTTCGTAGAGCATGTGTCATGCTTGCATGGTGAAGCTTCTGGCCTCCATGTACTCTGTCACTTTCGCCGGAAGCTCTAGAACAAACTTGGACAGATCTGGTATTCCGTGTAGACCCAGTCTCCGGTAGAGTTGCATGGGCGCCTAAGAACCCAAACCGAGATTGGATCTTGGGCAAAGCTGCAAAAAGTAAAGAGCGCTACATCCCCTATTTGGACAGACTGCAGTGCCCCTTTGGAATCATCCGGGGCATGCTCATTGGCAGAGCAACGAGACTCCGACACATGAGGCTGCCCCTTGAGATGCAGCGTGTAGTCATGCTAGAAGAGTTGCAAGAACTCGTCCTAGAGGGATATCCGGCCCCTCTGCTGAGGGCCTTAGCCCACACGCTCCCACTAGGAAACCCGGTTTTCCATGCACTGCGCCTGGCTACCAGACGGCTAGACAAGCTGGAGAGAAGGCGGCAAGTCTTTACAGCCTAGCGCTGCTACAGATCTTGGGACCCTAAACTAGCTTGTATATGCCGTTAACTAGTCACTTAAACTTTAGATGACGGGAGTCTATATACTGCCTTTGTCCTATTATTATGTTGTTTTGCGGAGTTTTGGCTCTAGTGAAGCAGACCTGGGTCCCAAGCACTGTGCGTACCACTAGGCAGCCATGGTGCCAAGTCACAAGCACCTCGGTCTCATGCTCTTGCTCCTGCTGTGTGGGGTCGGTCTGGCAGAGGCTAGCAAAGGCTCCCATCGTGGCGGCCGGCCAGGGCACCATCATAGTGATGAGAAGCATGGGCACTATCAGCACGGCAGGAGCAGGGAGTATGCGTACTTGCCTCGTCGCGGAGACTCGCGCCCGAAGTCCAAGGACAGGCGCCGCCGTCGCAAAGGTTCCATGTCGCGCTCCAGTTCGGCAGGCAGGCGTACCTCGAAAGTTGAAAAACCCTCCCCTGGCTACGTGGAGTACAAGCGCCAAAAGCAAGAGGCCGCCTGCCAGCAGGAGCGCAGGCTCCAAGCGCAGGCCATTGCTACAGTCTTGGAAGAACGTGAAATGCACCGCCAAGCTGCAAACCTGGCAGCTGTTGGGCAGATGCAGGGAGTTCCTCCTTTGCCTGGCGCTCAAGGACAGGCGCAGGCCCAAGTCCCTATGCCAGGCCAAGCGCTGTGGCAACATGCCCCAGGAATGTCAGCAAACGTCGGTGCAGGGCAACAGATCCTTGTTTTTCCGGCAGCTCAGCGTGTTCTGCAGGCTGAGCTGCAACACAAAATCGACTTGGGCTCCTCCCCGCTGTCGATTGATGATCTATCCTCTAAGCTAGGCACACTCAAGGGGTCCGGTAAACAGCTCGATGCCATCATCAATCGATATGGAAACGGAGAGAAGGCTCCCCCGGCACGTATAGCTGCTAAGGCCAAGATGGTAGCCGATTTGGCTGCAAGAATGCAGTTCTGAGTAAGCGGTAGCTCGGGTTGTTTCCTTTTAGTTGTTGTGTTTTGTGTAGGTTTCTTTTGGGGTATGTGTTGTGCTAGCCCCCCCAGCTTCCTCCCGAGCTCCGTGCAACGGGCTGTTGACGTGCTCCAAGCATGGTTCACCCTGCATATCAGTCACCGGGACTGGTCCGAATATCTAGAGGCGGTGACCGGGGTCCCGATTCTGGCCCCCAAGGCCACTGCAGTGGCTTTTTCTTTGCTTGCGTCAATCATCGGCTGGCGCACAATACCCGCACCAAGAATGATAACCGGAATGTAGCCCTTCCTTTTCTTTATGCCCTTCTGGATGATTTAGGGTTTAGGGTCCCCCTATCTCTTAGTCTGGGTTGGGAACTCTGGTTATCTATCCTGCAGTTACAGAGGACGCGAGGGCTTGAAGTTTTCCGGGAGGCAGGGTCTGTCGTTTCGAGGCTGTTGCATCTTGTTTTAGAGGCTTCGGTTTACAGTTTAGTTCTGTTTCAAGTTCAGACAGGAGGCCTCCCGGAAGTA